GATTCAGTGTTAGTATAGTCCTTAAAAAAATTTTGATTTTAATTATTCGGTTCAGTGTTATTTTATAATAAAATTGGGTATAACTAGAAAAATGATTTAGATGAATATATTCAAATTACTACTCTAAATTTAGTTTAAAATTTTAGCTCCAAAGGTTATTCGTCTAGAAAAAATAATGAAACCTAGAAGTCTAAAACGCAGAAGACTAAAAAAAATATGAAGTTTGTTCCCTTGTGAAAATTGATTTGCGGAAAAAATAAGCGATGAATTTCTCAACGATTGCTCAAGTATTTTTATTTGAAATGTGGACTCCATTATTGATGCATTCGCTAAATTAAAATATGGTCGTGTACAATTGACATAGTAAAAAAAATCTATAATCATTATATTTTTTACGGTTCTAATTTTCTAACGAAAATGCGGCCCAGTGCTCTTCTGTGTTCTGTATCCGCCACTTAGATCGAAATAACGCATAACGAAATGGTGCTATAACTCTTCTGAAATCTAAATTGGGAAGTAACTAGTAAGGAACCAATGGTTCGTAATCGTTGGTTTCTTCATAATCTGGGCTTCTTTCCCAACTATACATGCTTCCCTCCTCCATTGTTCTTTGTTTCGTCCATGGTTTAATTTTATTTTATCCCTCTCGTGCGACACGAATTGATTCTAATCCATATTATTATATATTGATAATAATTACGTTTCTAAATGCCAAAGTAATCACAATCCCGAATCTAATCATAATATCTTTTACTCATATTATTTATTTTAAAGAAATGAATGGCCCTGAGTTGATCGATTCACAAATCACAACACAATCTCTTTTGGCTTTGGTCCTGTCACGATGCCTTGGGCGTTTTCCGTTCGGCTATAATTAAAAAAAAAATGCAAGTGAATTTGTTTAGCTTCCTTGTTTTAGTGCACAAAACCGTGTTTACTTCTCCAATAGTGGAAAATGAATAGTTTAATTGTTCTAAATTAGATTTGTTTATGATCGATCGATAATAATAATAATAAATTATATAAGATTTTCTTTAATTGTCGAGAATATTTTGGTTACGTGAGAGCTAATTGTTAAAAAAATGGATTAGTTGGGGCAGGAGAGGAGCGTTGGCCCACCCGATCATCATTATTCATTAACATTTACAAATTAATTACAGTACAAAGAGGAATTAAGGAGAGAGATAGCTTTGTAGAGGGCACTTGCATTAGGCAAGCTACCCCAACAAGATTCTGGTCTTCCTGTCCTTGTTAACAACTTGCTTAGCTGATTTTTTTACTCTTAATAATGAGGTTATGACCAATAATTGTTATACCATACAAAAGATCAATCAAGCTGATATATAGTTCAATCGATATAATTAGGTTGTACGAAATTGGCTATAATTGCTAAGTGTAAACCCGACTATCAAGGTGAAAGTCATACTTATGCTAAGTCCGTTAGAGGATGACCGAATTCATATTATAGGTGCGGCCATGCATAATACGGCCAATTTTTCGGTACGCGTGGCAAGTGGGATCATACTTCATGCACATACTTTAATATGCAATAGTAGTTCGCTGTCAAGGTGCACAACCAATAGGAGTACGAACAGATGATGTCATTTTCCGCACTATGGTTACATCAACTCATTGGATTTTAATTTCAAAATTTCCACCTAAAATTATGGGCTATTTTAACTAGATGGTGAATTTCACAACTTTAAGCTAAGGGGTCGTTTGGAAGTTGGGAGTCTACGAATATGTGTATTCTTGCAATGTATGTATTCTAAGTATAGTGATTGTAAGAAATAGATGATTGTAAGAATATGTTGTTTGGTTGTTGTGATTCTCACTTTTGAAGAATATAAGGATTCTTACTTTAATGACCTAAAAGACTTACATAACCTTGAAGTTCTCATTATGTAATCATTAAATGAGGGCCAAATATGAAATATATAAAAAAGAATAAGGATAAGAGTGTAAAAAAAAAACAATTACAAAAGTAAAACAAAAGAATCTCACATTTTTGTAGAGATTCTAAATGAGTGATTCTAACCATTTGAGATTCTAAAGTTTCATTTAAATGCATGCATTCTGGACAAATTTACGTCAAAAGAACGATGTATTGTAAAGAAACACACATTCACAGAATCACTCATTTAGACTCCTTACTTCCAAACGACCCCTAATATATATTCTTAAGAATTAAGATGTCCATGATGAATCATTACAGAGGTTGGCTACTTTTTACAATTGATCATGGCTCGAATTGATTATAGAAAATATTTAACGATCTTGGGCATGATAAATGAAGTTGGGTTGCTGAATCTTTGGAGATGGTGGGGGCAATCATTCAAAGGTGCCTTGTAATTTGGGTGATGGTTAGGGTTTGTCTGGATGAGTACTTCTGTTCGGTCAAATTGACTTGTTTGAAAATGTAAACTTTGTATCTTAAATATTTTAATGGTTTTCACTTTTCACCTTCAATTTTGAGACTATTCGAACTGTTTTGGGTACACATAATTGTTCCATTCAAACGATCGAGTCTTTTGGATGAATCAATTGTGAAGCGGGACAATTCGATCAACTGTCTCATTTTACAAAATGAGTCATTTAAACTGGTCAATTTGAATTACGTGTCTCATCCTAGATAATTGTAATTTTATCAAACGAGCCAATTTGAATTTTGCCATACCAAATTGCTTCATCCAAATTTTGTGGTGGTGTTAGTAGCAGAAAGCCCTGATTAGTATGCAGGTACCCCAATGGTTTAGTAGGCCCCGCTGTCGCTCAAGCGGCACGTAGGGCTGAGATTCCCTGGGTTATCAAATAAAAAAAATTTGTGGTGCCAAACATATTAATCTGTGGCCCAACTGTCTCAAAACGAGACAATTGAGTCAAATTTATCTGTTAGAATTTCTCATAAAAATTTTCAAAATATTCAAAAAATAATGATAGTGGTAATAACTAATGATTGCATCCATCTATAAGTGAGAAGAAGAAAAATAACGTAATCAATGACAATAATTAAAATGATTCCCCTTAAATAAGGGAGTCAAATAATTTTCTGTTGGAGCATTAATGATAGGATAGGGTCATATAGTTTAAGTAGCTTCATCATGCGCTCTTGATATAAACAAAGTCATTTTCTACTCTACTTATCCTACAAGTTACAAGTGTTGCATATATAAATATTTGTATTTTTGGATCACATAAACAATAATTAACATAATAAATAGGGAACATGGGGAATAAAGAAGTAAGAAATCCACCTAAATCTTAACCTAATTAATATCCTTCATCTATTAAAATGTAGCCTGTCCTTGCTCCAATGTCAAATATATGGTAGAGAATAAGAGGAAGGGAAACAAGGAAGGCTGCTGAATTGCCTTGGACCACAAGGCATGTTTTTTTTATCTAACAACTTGGCATAGGAAAACCTAAAGGCTAAAGCCTTCATCATTGTCTAACTAACAAAGCTGGGAAAAGCCTTCTTAATTAATTTATGGGAGCTGTTTGAATAGGTCTCACCAACCACCAAATGTTTTTTTATAAAATATTTAGATTATGCATTATACTAATTTTCAATGATAACAATTTGAAAACATTATGGCCTATATTTCTTAGGCTATTCTGATTCTATCAATACCGATCGAATTCATAAAATCAAGCGGCTTGAGCTTATGTTCAGCTGACAATTGCCATGAAATCTTGCTCGAAGTAGTAGGCCATGGGGAATGAAGAGCAATTAACTAGATTTGCTTTCTTAGTAATATTTTTCTCACAATTTGAAGATCGAACTCGAATATTATTGTAATAAATTAGTTGGTTTTTAATTATTCTAGACTATTTATGTATGAATCGTTTTAATTACGATTGATGTTGAATGAACTATCATTCATTTCTATCGTGTCATGTTTTATACCGAAAGATTGAACGGCTACCAATGATTATTGTCATGTCAACCAATAACTAGCTGGAATAATCCATCTATAGAGAATTTGCATATATGCCCAAATCACAAAAAAGTACCAAAACGAGAAAGTCTAGGGGATCAAATTGACATTTTAGACCAAACTATTCTTGCTTGAGGGGTTTCAGCTAGCCCCTCCCTCAAGTTTGGTCTTGTTGTCAACTAGAGAAATGGTTCAAAGCGACCTCTCATTTTCAGCCAACTTGCGGGATTAGTCCAACTTCTACATATAGGATGATGAATTTCAATAAGCTCTCCAATTCACCTTTCTTGAGGTCATCTAACTCTCTAGGATACCTTGAAAGTACCGACCTTAACGGTCTAGAATATGGTCCATTTTTTACTTTGTAATTCACACTAATTTCACCTTTTTAACCTATGGCCTATGGGTTAATAATTGTCACTCTATCAAAGATTTGATTTCTAGCTACTTCTTTTGATTAAAGTCAGATAAGTATACACGAATACCACATCGAAAAGAAAAGAAAATTATATTAGCCACAAAATTCACACTTAAAATAAACTTGAAATGCAAAGATAAGATGACCGATATTGAATTCTATCCCTCATTGTGAGCCGAAAAAGACTCGTTTGCTTCAATCTGACATGACTTGATTAGGGACATCGAACCTTTTCCTACCTTACCAGTCACCACTCTAATCCTTTCTAACTCGGACTAGTGCTAAGTTATCGATAATATAATGCGATCTTGTACAAAAACCTCAATATGATATCAAGTTAGGCGACTTGAACAAATCACAACCATTGAAAGAAATAAGAATGAGGCTAAAGTAAGTCTGGCGTATGTGTCATATGAAACAAGCTTTGTCATAATCTTATCACTAAATGTCATAATTTTGTTACTGTCCCACACAAGTAACAACTATTGTTTAAGTGTTATGAATTATTTGAATTTCAAAATGATTTCCTCTCCATTTTTTCGTGCAAGAACGAAATTGTTATATATTTCTTTCTGTCACATTGTCCATTGATGTCACTTTATCTTGGTTTTGTCATCCAAACCATATAAATATTGACATACCTACTCACTTACCGATTCTCATTCCTACTCATAATCATGCCAAACCTATAAAGTACAAAGAACCAATCCGAGGGGTGTCCACTCACAGAAAATAGTTAAGTATGTCAATATAATATGAACTTCCATTGTGCACCACAAGGCACAAGAATACCCAAAAACAACTGAGATGACACTTCCCTAATAACATTCGATTGCCTCCTTATCCTCCTATCTCAAAAACAACGATGTACAAGTTCATCTGTTAGAGGGAGGGAGAAGAAGTTAGGAGAAAGTGAAAGGAATCAAGAAACAGGAAATAGGTCATCATCATCTAGCAGAAGGGACTAGCCCTGATGATCCATTGGAAAAGTCAGGGCTTTGATCAATCTCAAGAAAGCTTGTCAACAATGTCTTTCTGGAAGATTGTCCCTTGGAACCATCCACAGATTGCATCAGCTTTTGGCTTTCGTCAACCCCTTTCTCTATCTTGCCAGCTTCTTGTATCGCCAGGATTATTTCCTGCATCTTTGGCCTGGAAACTGATCTCAACTCGACACACTGGATCGCAACTTCTGCTACCCTCCAGACCGATTCAATCTTCGCATTCCCTATCAGGAACGGGTCCATTATGCTCATTACATCCCCTTTTCTTATCAGAGCCCTTGCCTATTTGTTAAAAGAAAACAGAACAAAAAAGAATGTCAACAGCTTTGTTGCATAGAGTTAACAGGAATAGAAGAATGTGGTTCCATATACATACCCAGTGAACAATGTTGAGTTCTGAACCAAAGTCTTCTGCAGAGACTGGTTTTTTCCCTGAGATGAGTTCCAAGAGGACAACCCCAAAACTGTAGACATCACTCTTCTCTGTCAACTGCTGGTTTGCATAGTACCTGAAATGGAAAGTAAAACAGTGTACACATTTTTGGGAAGTGGAAAGTCAAAACATTTCCAATTTTCAGAAGGGCATACGATGACTTACTCGGGGTCGAGGTAACCAACCGTGCCACGTGCCACACTCGAGACATGTGTTAGATCCTCTTCAGCTTGTCTGGAAAGACCAAAGTCCGAGACTTTGGCTCTCATGTTGATGTCTAGTAGAATGTTGGTGGTCTTCACATCTCTGTGTATAATACTAGGATTGCAACCAGTGTGCAAGTAGTCAAGACCTGCAAACCAAATAAAAAAGTATCCATCTTTCTATGACTTGGTCCTTTGAATTTGAGAAAGAAAGAATGTATTACACAATGGACTAAGTGGGTCAATTAAGGTTTTTGTTTGGTACTAGAGAACCTTTAGCTGCGTCTTCAGCAATCCTCAGCCGTGCCAGCCAGTCTAATCGCTTCTGGTTAACCGAACCTGCAACATGGCAAACGTCATTGAATTTTGAGTCTGCAAAGCAATTGGTAACCACATAAGCTTGGTAATGAAAATAAATCGGCATGGTTTTTTATTAGCAGACCATGGATGTGATCCCTTAGTGTTCCATTGTGCATGTATTCGTAGATTAGGATCCTTTGGTTCTGTTCTTCACAGTATCCTATCAATGGGACCAAGTTCCTGTGATGAATTCTTGACAGAAGGGCAACCTGCATATATGTTTGAACACATGACATTAAATAATTTCTTCATGAACCTTTTATTTTGAAACTTTGACAGTGGTATATTACCTCGGTCACAAATTGTTGGTTGAGGTTGGTGCAGGAATCTGCCATGATTTTAACTGCTACTTCTTTGCCATCTTCCATCTGCCCATAGTACACTGTCCCAAAGCTTCCTCTCCCAATTTTCTTGGAGAAGTTCTTGGTAGCTTCTTCAATTTTGGAGAGTGAAATGTAGTATGAAATGCCATCTTCTGTTAGATGCCAGCCGCGTGAAACTGAATAGGCAGTCGAAGGCTTGGCACTGGCACGGAAAGAGCTCCCTGGTATTTTGGTTAAGAGCATGAAGTTAGTTATAAAGAGGAATCAGTAATTGAGGTTATCAACAAAAGAGATCCGGAAAAGACCTGGTTCATTTGTTTTCTGAATGGTGTTTTTTCGCCGGTGATGCAGCAAGTACACCAGACTTCCTAGCAGGAGAAGCAATAGAGCTGCAAGTATGCCAATGGAGATTCCAAGCACCAACTTGAAGTGCATCTTTTTCTTTGCCTCTTTGTGTAGTCCTGGATTGTGTTCATAGCTGCAAGAAGCAAATTGAAGAGATCTGTTAGAATGAATTTCACTCAGTATGATTAACATAGTGACTAAAAATGGAGATGGCTCACTTAATGATTACTTTCCCAGTCAGCAATGTTGGAGGTATGGTTCCAGTTAAGGAATTATTCTGTATGTACCTACACCACAATCCACAATGAGAAAAATAAAACCATGAATGGTAAAATCAATGATAAACTATGGAAAGTCCAGAGCAAACTACTTACAGTTCATGCAAATTTGGCAAGCTTGCCAGGTACTTTGGTAGTGAACCAGTAAGCTTGTTGCTCTCCAGATGCCTGGAATGTTTCTTGTTTTATAAGCCAAAGGGACAAGATAAAGTTTTTCTTATTTAGTATATCTCTGCAGATATGAACTCAATGAAAAGAAAGCTTACATGATTCTAAGGTTGACAAGGTTGCTTATATCTGGGATTGAGCCTGTGAAGGAGTTCCCATCCAGCCACCTAAGGAAAGAAACCGTGATTAAGATTGTAATATAATATGAGAAAATATGGTGTATTGGTTATTGAAGTAATCAGAAAAGGAGGAACTTACAGCTCTTCCAATTCCCTTATGTGGTATATCTCAGGTGGGATCTCTCCCTTCAAATTCTTGCCTGACAAGGAACTGATCGTTTCATATCTGGTGAGCTAAAAATCCATGCCTTTTTTACCTCTTGTTCAACCGGAAATAAAGTTTGCAGAGAGAGAGAGAGAGAGAGAAGTTACATTTTTGTGATCCTTGGCGGGGAAGTCTTGCCACAGGTCACCCATTCCCAATGAGTTGGGATGCAAGGATCACCTCCTTCATTTGCCCAAGGGCTTCCAGGAGATAGTGATCGAAAGGCATTCAACACAGTGACTAGCAATTGATGAACACAGATCTTGTTAGGTTGATCACACATAACTTGGTTTTGACTCGTTAAAACTTAAAATGGTCTGTAAACTATAGGGTTCGTAACAAATAGTCACTCGACCAAAAATATAATCAGTAATGCTGAATTGCTGATTAAACTAAACGATCCAGGACAAAACAGTTACTTTGTCTTATACTTTCTAGTCTATTATTTGTAAAATTGGTTCAGTTTGCCAAACTAAGTAATCCAAGACAAACTCACCATCTTGGTCATCTGTCTTTGCTGCAATCTGCAGATACTTGCTGATCTCCAGCGCATTCAGCAATGGCCCTCGAGTCGAATCCCGAGTCTTGGCAAACGCAAACGACAGAACGAAATCAAGGCTCACATTCATGTAACTAGGCTCATACAGACTGTAGCTGCCATTCCCATTCTCCACAATGTTCACCACTGCATTGCTGTAGTCAGGGAAATAAGGCTGTGTCAGCTTGAACTTTCGAGTCTCGTAGTCTCCCAGCTCCTCTATCTCAGCAAAATATGCGTAAGCTCTAGCATTTGCCGGGAAATCTTCAAGGTTGAGTCTGTAGCTGAGTGTCCCTTCTGTGCCCACAACTGCTGTTTGCATTACCTTGACTGGAGGGTACTCTCTAGTGCCAACCCATATGTCTTTGGTTGTGTTGATCCTGATTGTTCCTCCAGCTTCACCTACAAGGAAGTTCTGTCTTTTTACGAGATCTGAATCCCAAATCCTGTCATATGGGTCATCTGGGTACCTGAAAAAAGACAATCCTATCAGAAAGAAGCAAACGTTTTGAACAAGTAATGCCAGACAGTCTACTCATTGCATCAAACCTTCCCTGCCGATAGTTTAGCTGGACCAACAAAAAGCCAGATAGTCTATTCCTACCACCCATATCATTCAGCTGAACCAACAAAATGCCGTACGCATTCACTCAATCCAACCCTGTTCCCAATTCGTCAACACTTGCCAGCAAACATATGAAACGCAGATCTCATCCCATTTTCTAAGCTGAAAAGGGTTGGGACAAGTGAATGTTGATTGACAGATTTTGGTGATGAGGTCAACCCTACATTGGCATGATGATTCATCGGAACTAACTGACAAATCATGTCAAAATGAGACGACGTGATTTAGCTTAACAACCATTGTTACAGACCTCGCAGCATCATATCCAAACAAGAACACATATTACCTTATAGCATCCTTGGTAGGCGCGCCAAAATTGACCCTAGCAGCCACCTTGAGAAAGAAGTCCCCTTCAAAATCAGTCGCATACATGGAAAGATTGAATGGCCTCAACTCCAGAGTAGATATAAACGGTGAACCAGTCGACGCACAGCATATGCAGACATCAACCGAACCAGAAGGTGCCCTTATGATCATCTCATTCACATAAACCCTAGATGCATCCGTAATCGTGACAGTAGACCATTTGGTAGCATCTAAGTAAAGATCAAATTTTGGGTACGCATCTTGATTCCCCAAGTTGCCATACTGGAATGTAGCTCGAATCAAGTACCTCCTTCTCTCCCTCGTGGCCAAGTTGTAGCAGTACTTTTTGTTGCTGTCTATTGGGAAATCTCTTCTTCTCTTGTACTGCTCCAAATTCCCATCTGGGTTCTGGATAGAAACTGAATTCCCAGTTCTCATTAGGTTGCTGTCTGAAACCCATTGGAGCCCCGTTCTTGAATCGGTGTGGTTGGTTGTTCCTCCGCAGTCTATGCTCACAAATTCTGCAGCACCGGGCAGAGGAACCCTCAAATTGGGGTTTAAGGTAACAACATAGAGAAAACACTTGTAAAAGTTGTCAGCTTGATGGAGAATTTGAACCAGAGAAGAGACAAACCTGAGACTTGGGAGAGAGATGGAGGGACAAGCAACAAGGAAAGAAGCAGGAAATGGCAATAAATAGCCATTGAAGGAGCAGAACCAAGACAAGAAACAAAACCCATGATTCCTTCTTTTGTGTTTGGATTTGTGTGTTAGTTGTCAGTTGTGTGTAAGAAATGTACCGCGGATGTTTTGAGGAAATCTATGAGCTTTGAGGATGGTGTCTGTGTGAAGTTTTTTTGAGGTTTGTGTTTACCAAAGACACGATCTTCTTTTGTTCTAATCACTACAGTTTTCAGGGTGCTTACCCTTTAGTTCAGTGCAGGAGCAATTGTTCATTCACATGATGAAGATCTTCTCCTCTTTCTTTTTCTTCCCTCTACAAGCTTTGGCATCTTTTTTCCTTCTTTTCCCAAGAAAACTAAAAAAAGACCCAACACGGTTTCTGGCTTTACTTTCCTTTTGGGAAAAGTTGGGAGTGTAACAGAATCTCTCAACGTTAGAGCAAAATCAAAAGCTAAAGTTTATAGGCGCCCACAACACAGCAAAAGATGCTACCTTTATCACTAGTGCAGCAGCTTTGTCACTCAGATTCAGATGTAATGTAACATCATCAATTCATAACCCAATCTCATCGGTAGTTCTATGGAGAATTTACTAGTTCATATTAGTACTCTAAGATCGTTCATGTACATTATCGAATAACATGTATTCGCATTATTTTATAGAAATGGCATTCTACCAATAAAATAATTAAGAAGATAGAAGAAAATAATGCCAACAGAATAATCATATGCTTTCATCTCATCCCTAATCTAACGAAGTAATGAACTATAACAAGTACTCTCAGTTTCTGCTGTGTTGAAAGTTGAAACAATTTACACACACAAAAAAAAAAAAAATTTGAAACATTGGCCATGCAGAAAAGCCAGATGAGCGATTGTGTTGTGTATATTTGTATTATTCAATTCCTTTGGCTTTATATTAAATCCTTACTTTAGCTTTACTGCCTTTACAGAGTCCAGAAAATCTACTTTGTTGACTTTTTGGTCGGGTCAGTTTGGACCAACCTTAAGCTACCTTATGTTATGTCTTTAGCTTTACAATTTGGATGGGAATAAATGCTTTATGCTTAATTACACAATTACATCACATGATTTAATGCCCATTTTGCCCTTTGTTCAACTCTCAATCTACTCCAGTACTCCCACTTCGTTTTGCAAATGGTTTAAAAACGTTCGGTTTGGAAACAACTCGTTCAATATTTGACTCGTCTGTTAATGAGCGAGGTTGAACTAAGTTTTGTTCAGTTAGCAAGGCTCTTGACCAAGTTAGACTCGGTGATTTGTTGAGCTTAATTCGTGAGGTAATTTGTTTTGAGCTATGAGCTAACTCGAAAGTATGGCTAGCATGTCACCTCAACTAACAACTTATGAGAGAATCGGTTAATAGTTTTTCATTGCCTTGTTGATGATTCATATATTTGTTAGATTATATATCTTACCACGTATGATGTTTAAGAATTTGAGCATATGGTTCAAATATATCTCATTTATAATTTAAAAGGTATCATAGATTGTTTAGATACTAACTATTATCAAATAACATGATATGGACAATTAGAATTTATGAACAAAATGGTATTGATACCTTAGCTCAAGCCGATCTCGCGAGCTAATTGATGAGCCGAGCTCGAGTACAACTCATGACCTCATTAATGAGTCGAGCTCGAGTCAAACAGAAACCAAGGTTCCAGTAAACAAGCTGAACCTAGGCTTGGTCAGAACTCGACTTGGCTCATTTGCAACCCTACTTTCACTCAATTGTGGTCGATTCACTATGTGCTCTGTTGTTTGATTTGGTATTCAGGCAACAAAAAGATTACTAACTAGGGGTGGTTTTAAGTTACTATTGTAGTTTTTAGATTGCTATTATACTTTGTATTGTCTAGAATATATCATTTTTTTCATACTTTGTATTGTCTAGAATACATTATTTTATTTTTTTATCTTTCATACGCAATACATGAATTATTTATGTGACGTGACATGGGCATTTTTTATAGTTAGGATTCTCTAAATTGATGTATTTAATCAATTTATGTGTTCTAATTAGAAGTATTGTGACAATGTATGAATTTGAAAAATACATTATTTGGAGATTGAATGATTTTGGCGTTACTTCCAAAAAGGGTTAATGGCATGGTTGGTCATTGAAATTATAAAAAGCGCTCATGTTTGGTCACTAGAAATATTTAAATCCAATCTTGGTCACTCAAATTAGTTAAATAGTTCAAGTTTGGTCACTCTCCGTTACCTTCCGTCAGTCTCCGTTAACACCGTCAATTATTTGCTGACGTGGCTAATAGACTCACCTAGTCACCTATTTTTGACAAAAATAAAATAAAATCCAATCCTGCCACGTCATTAAAACTTACCACATCATAAAAACCTAACCAATATGACCCAACCCATTAACCCATGATCTGACCTACCCCAAATTAAAACCCAAAATTGACCAATCCTCAAAATCCCTTGCCCGGAGAAGACGACCGGAAGAAGCTATTGTCGCCGACCTGTCCAATCCGTCGGTTTCCCCTCTTCTCCTTCCTTCGACAAAAACATGAACGCCACGAGCACCACCATCTCCGACCCTGGCTCTGGTCTGCACCTAACAATCCACACATGGTAGTCGATCCTCACCTGGTAGTTCTCGCCGCTGTTCAGCCTCAGCGTCTCGAATCCGGCTAGTATCCGGCCTCGTTGGCGAATCTGGAGGTGAGCGAATTGAGATCGATCCCCACATGATTGTCGCTGATGTCGCTAAACTCCTGGTTGGTGAAGACGTCGAACTCGACGCCGAAGATTCGAGTGTTAGGGTCGTTGTCGATGGTGCGATTGAGGAAGCCCAGGTTCTGAGAAGAGGAAGCCCCCTCGATTCCGGCGAAGGGGACGAACAGAAAGACCAATCCGTGGCCCGGGAGGGCGTCTCTGTACGGCGCCATGGCGAAGATGAAGGAGGTGGAGAAGGTGTTGACATAGGAGGAATTGGGGGTTTTGGTGCGGATTCTCTGCGGGTAGAGCGCGCGGCCGATGGTGAATGTGTTGGAGTTGGTGAGGGTGAGGACTTGAGATTCGACGGCGGCGGATCCGTAGAGGAAGAGGCTGGAGGAGGAGTTGGTGGAGTTGAAGTTGTTGAAGTCGAAGTCGACGGCGGAGGTTGGTTGGAAGAGGAGGAGGTGGAGGAGGAGGAAGGGGAGGGTGTGAAGCGGCCGGCGGTGGTTCATTGCGGCGGGGAAATGGGTGGCGGTGGCGGCGGTTGTTTCATTTGGGGAGAAGAGATGATAAGGTGGGGAAATGGAGAAGGCCAGAAGGGGAAAGGGAGAGTTAATCGGTTTCGTGATAACGGTTCTGGTCAAACATCTGGATTCTCATTTAATATCTTAAGGAAGGAAAACGAGGGAGGAGGAAGGAAAACGATGGATATGATGTGGCAAACTTTAATGACGTGGCAGGATTGGATTTTATTTTATTTTTGTTAAAAATAGGTGACTAGGTGAGTCTGTTAGCCACGTCAGCAAATAATTGACGGTGTTAACGGAGACTGACGGAAGGTAACGGAGAGTGACCAAACTTGAACCATTTCACTAATTTGAGTGACCAAGATTGGATTTAAATATTTCTAGTGACCAAACATGAACACTTTTTATAATCTCAGTGACCAATCATACAATTAACCCCTTCCAAAAATGAGAGATTGACAATCATCCACAACGAATGATTGGTGGTCTCACATTCTGCTCAAATGCATTATACATGTATTATGTTCATTTTAACACAATGACACATGTAAAACATTGTATTTTACAACTAGCTTATAACCCGGCCCTTGGCCGGATAACAAAGTTTAAATAATAAGAGTTAATACTTTATCATCATTTTGAAAATCATATTTAAAATCATATACTCTTTGACTGACCAACAATTTTCAAACTTCATATGTTCTACATATCGTTTAATTGATTTAGCATTTCATTGATCTATATGTTTTGGTCAAATATTGTGAGCATCTAACATTTATTTTAGTCTCGCGGCGACAATTCACGCGGATGATGAAATAAGGTTTCGTAAAAAAAAAGTTTTTCCTGTAGATTAAGCTGTAATATTTGTGTTAACCCCCTCGGAAAATGGTTTATATAAATTCTTCTGATTGGATGGTTCATATGAAAATTAATTGGGTGTTAAATAACATTTGGGTGACTTGTCACATTCTTTTCTTAAAATATGAATTCACTTGCTTGTTTCTTGTGCTCATAAAACTGTCTCCACCTTAAATTCAAGAAACGAAATAAAATCACGGTAAAATTTAATTATTAATCACATGTTCTAAATTACATTAATAAGTAAATTAGTAAAATATATTTCAAACAGATACGAAAAATGCGGTAGCGGAGAACATAAAGTCTCAAATATACCAAACAAATCTAAACTATCTTGCACACAATATATTAGAATCGAAAAGTCTAATTATTAAGGAAGTGAGAAATGTTCACAGTTGAACTAAAAGAAAACTATACATTACATTAATATTAATCTCAGTTTGCACTATAAATAATAATATATAACATAATTGTCGAAGAAATTTGGATGAGAATCATGAGACTTTCAAGTCCCTTCTTGAAATATTTGGCTTGAGTCGTTTGCCATTCATTTATCTAGCAAATTGAAGAACAAATAAAACAATTATGTTTTGGACAAAGACTTGATTTTAACCATTGGGTTGAACAATAAAATATAAATTTGGAGTCAAGAGTCCAATATAACTTGAATTAAGACTGTTATAAAAAAACTTGATTTAAGACTAATTACTCAACTAATCTGAAAAGTAACTATTGATTATAGATCAAAGTTCTTTCTTCTTAGACACTTTGATGTGGAAATAGCTTTCGTCATTTTATAAATTATGGATGGAGTCACTTTAATGAGTATATCATCAAATGGCTTATTGCTTTTCCGTGATATTTAAGAAATTTATTTTTGATTTGGCATTGTTATAACCATTTTTTCAAATGTTCCTTTATTGTCTTAGTCTAATTTGAAAGAAATATAAATAATAAGTCGAGTGTCAACTCTTTTTAAAAAGAACTACCTCCAAAAATAGTTTTTATCAATAATAATACATTCGGCATATCATGAGTCTTTATTTGCAAGATACTTGACAAATATAGTGCTATGCAACTAATATTTTTCTCAATCCGCTTAACTTTTATGTAGAAATAAACGTTTTCAGCCAAATACAACTATTTGGAAAGTAAAGTTGACCATACGATGAAC